CCTCCTTTTACAGACAAGAAAAGTGAGAGCCAAAGAAGAAAGGAAGTTGGCCCAAGGTCCTGAGGTCAGCCAGTGGCCTAGGATGGAATGCTTTTTGAAAAAGTGACCTAAATCCTATTCCAGCATTTATTGTTTTTTCTTTTCTATGTCAAGAAAGTTTAATTGGAAAGTCTAGTTGGGTAATTCCACACTAAAGGGCTTGCCTGAGGATTAGCTCTAGATCTCCTTGGCACCACCTAGTACCATCTCCTCACTGCCTAGGCCCAAGGAGGGACCCTTCCTCCAGGCAGCTCTCTCTGAACACCTCTCCCAGCTCCCCTGGCCTCTGCTGGTGGGTGCTGGAACACAGCACTAAATCATACCCTCTCATTACTTTTATGAACATTTAATATCTCATTGACGGATGGCGAAACAACTTAGTGCCCTCCCATGATGCTTCAGATGAACTGGGCACAGGTTCAGGACCCCACAGGGACCTAAGGTCCCATCTCCTTTAAGTCCCCATTGATGGTGATTTTCATCCAACACTCTTGACCTCAGTCTGGATCTCCTTTGATTTTCAAGACTTTCTTTGAGAGTCTGAAAACAGCTTGGGTTCTGGACTCTGAGAAGCTAGGGACTGAACCCCCATTCAGCTGCTTGCTGTGTGATTCTGAGCAAGTCACTTCATCTCTCTGAGCCTCACTTTTCTCCTCTGGAAAATGGCGTAAATAATCCTCCCCCTGTGAGGGGCATTGAAAGGTAAAGGGATTAAGAAGTACCAATTGGTAGTCACAGAATAGTCATGGGGATATAAAGTACAGCGTAGGAAATATCTCTCCATACAAAAGCCCAAGTGACCAGCTGACTGGCTGACCATTCGACCGGCCGACCGGTAGCTATGACGCACATTGGCCACCAGGCGGCAGATGCTCAATGCAGGAGCGGAAACCACAGGCATGGAATCATTGAACAGACTGATGAATCTCAGAGGGAAGGGGGAGGGGGAGGGCAGGAAGAGATTAACCAAAGATCTTATATGCATACTAGAGGCCCAGTTCACAGATTCGTGCACCAGTAGGGTCCCTCAGGCTGGCCTGCACTTTCTTGCAATCCAGGACCCCTCAGGGGATGTCGGAAAGCCGGTTTTGGCCTGATCCCTGCAGGCCAGGCCGAGGGACCCCACTGGTGCACAAATCCATGCATAAAAGGCTAATATGCAAATAGACCAAATGACGGATGACCAGTCGCTATGACACGCACTGGCCACCAGGAGGCAAACGCTCAACACAGGAGCTGCCCCCTCATGATCAATGCACTCCCATAGGGGAAGCGCTGCTCAGCCAGAAGCCTGGCTCACAGCTGGCAAATGCAGCGGTGGTGCGGGAGCCTCTCTTGCCTCTGTGGCAGTGCTAAGGATGTCCAACTGCTGGCTTAGGCCTGCTCCCCGCCATCAAACATCCTCCGATGGCTCCCAGAATGTGAGAGGGCACAGGCTGGACTGAGGGACCCCTTATGTGCACAAATCTCATGCACCAGACCTCTAGTATTATAACTATGTATGTATGGTGGCAGACGTGTACTGCATTTATCAGGGTGATCACTTCATAAGTTATATACATGTGTAATCACTGGGTTGTACACCTGAAACTAGTATAATATTGTATGTCAACTGTAACTGAAAGATAAAAAATATTTTAATAAAAGAAAGGATTAAATGACATGAAGCATGTAGGCAAAGCTTAACGTTGCACCTTGCTCCTAGCCAGTGTTTGTTAAACTTGGCTGTCCCCATCATACAAGGCTCCTGGATTAAAATCCACCAGTATATTATTAGGCACTTACTGTATACCAGGCTCAGTTCTAAGAGATTTATATATACAGTCATGCACCACTTAACGACGGGGATATGTTCTGAGCAATGCGTCTTCCGGCAATTTCATCATTGTGCGAACATCACAGAGTACACTTACACAAACCGAGGTGGTATAGCCTACTACACACCTAGGTACTATAGCCTACAGTACCAAACAACACAAGATTAAATCAAGCACATGGAAGTCAATACAATCAGGAGACTAAATATGAGACATATGAAGCTACTGCTGGCGTAAAACAGCTTATTGATTGTTTACAGCAAACTTCTTCTTTTTTTATCCTCCCCCGAGGATGTTTCCTTATTGATTTGAGAGAGCGAGAAAGAGAGAGAAAGAGAGAGGAGAAAGAGAGAGAAACATCGATGTTAGAGAAAAACATCAATTGGTTGTCTCCCGTACACACCCTGACCAGGATCGAACCCGTAACCTTTTGGTGTACAAGACGACACTCCAACCAACTGAGCCACCCGGCCAGGGTGCAAACTTCTTTTTACAAGTAGAAAAAGTACACTCCCAAATAGCAATAAGAAGTATAGTCTAGTGTGGACGAAAGTCTTCTCTGAAACCCAGAGAGCCCTTTGTGGATAAGTCACAGGCCATCCTCAGTGTGAGGACAACCCTTTACCCTCACTATCTGCCCCTCAAGGCTAGGACTTCTTAGGCCTAAGGAGGGGACGCAAGCCACCAGTGCTGCCCACGGGGACCTCAGCCAGAGACTGGAAATCTGGTCCCCGGTTTGCTCTCTCCCACCTCCCCAATCTACCACCAAATGAATTTCATGTAACCTGCTCACGTCTACTCCTTTGATTCTAATCTACAAAATAAACTGTAAGATGACCATTTCTCAATCTGTTGAGATTTTGCTTCCCGGCAATTGTCGTCAGTTTGGCTCAAATAAACTCATAAAAATTCTCTATCTAATACTACACAACCATAACAAAAGGGAGGACTCTTCCCTTCTGCAACAGCATGGTTGGACCTGGAGATTACTCTAAGTGAAATAAGCCGTCAGAGAAAGACAAACACCATACTATCTCACTTGTATCTGAAATCTAATGAACACAATAAACTGATGGACAAAATAGAAACAGAAACATAGATACATGGGACAGACTAGCAGCCGTGGGAGGGGAGGGAGGTGGGGGAACTGGATGAAAGAAGAGTGAAGGGATTAGTCAAAAAACATACAGTATATGCGTAACACAGACAACAGTGTGGAAATAGCCAGAGGGAAAGGAGGGTAGGACTAGAGCAGTGATGGCGAACCTTTAGAGCTCGGTGTGTCAGCATTTTGAAAAACCCTAACTTAACTCTGGTGCGGTGTCACATATAGAAATTGTTTGATATTTGCAACCATAGTAAAACAAAGACATATTTTTGATATTTATTTTATATATGTAAATGCCATTTAACAAAGAAAAATCAACCAAAAAAATGAGTTCACGTGTCACCTCTGACACACGTGTCATAGGTTCGCCATCACTGGACTAGGTGGAGGTGGACAAAGAGAGGAAGAAATGGGGATGGAAAGAGACTTTGCTTGGGTGATGGGTGCGTGATGCAGCATGCAGATGTTTTATTGAGTTGTGCACTTGAAACCTGTATGGTTTTGCAAGCCATCGTCACCCCAATAAATTCAATTAAAAAGTTCTCTACAGGTTTGCACATTTCTTACGTTGACAACAGGAAATGCGCAAACCAGTAGCATACTGATTTATTATCAAGTATCATGTACTGTACATAATGGCATGTGCTGAGGTTCTTGTTCCAGCATTAAGAAGCGTTCAGCAATCTGGAAAAGGGGCTGGTGTAACTTAAGTAAGAGTCCAAAGACGAAGCATAATTTTGAAAGGCATTTGGGGGTCAGAGGAGCCTAGTTTAAAGGAAACTAAGATCTCCTTGTCTCAGGACCCCATACTTTTTATTAACACAAATTGTCCTGAGGCGAGGTGGAGGGTTTCCCACCAGACCATGGGACCAGGGAACCCTCCTGAGGGCAGGGAATCTCTGAGATTGGACAGAGATGGAACCCTTCAAAGGGCAGGGTTTCCTATACAGAGTCCATTGTCAGACTGGGGAGAATTAGCCTACGGCTGTTCAGGTGTTTGGCCAGTAGGAGGCAATAACCTGTAGATTAAGATGCCCTGAGCTGTCTGGCAGCAAGCAATCATTTCTGTTCAGGTTTTGGGAAATGCCTTTAGCCATTCCCAACAATAACATATGTGACTCAGCCCTTGTTGAGTCCCCAAGTTTCATCAACCTTTTGATGAAACTCTTGCAATTATGACATGCCGGAATTGGCTTCCGGCAGTGCTGCACTTTAATGGGACTGGGAGCGCAGTGGGCTCGTTCACACCTCCATCACCACAAACACGTGGGGATGGGTACAGATTTATCACAGTGATAACTTCCTCCATCACATAAATATCTAATCACTGGGTTGTACACCTGAAGCTAGTATACTATTGTATGTCCACTGTAATTAAAAATAAAAATATTTTAATTTAAAAAAGGATTCAATGAGATGAAACACGTGAGGCAAAAGCTTAGCGCTGCACCCTGCTCCTAGTAAGTGTTTGTTAAACGTGGTGTGTGTTTTGTTACATCCGGATGGCTACATCTCACTTGGGCAGTAGGAATTTCTGAGGCTCCATTATAATCTTACGGGACCACCATCGTATATGGCATATCATATGCCATCAAAACATCATTCATTATGTGTATGACTGCATTGCCTCATCTTATAGTCACGACAACCCTATGGATTGGCACTATCATTTCCCCCAGAGGCGTTAAACGCGGAGAGGTGAACCGACTTGCTCCAGGACACACAGCTGGGCATTGGGTGCTCACTGTCATTACCAGGTGAAATGTGTAACCGCTCCAAGCCGGTGGTTAGCGCTCAATAAGGAGAAATCGTTCCCTAGAAGTGAGAAGATCCAGAAAGCTGGGTGGGACTCAGGCGCTGGGAAAGGGAGCAAGGAGTTAGGGGCGTGCACAGCAGCTGGAGAAAGAGAGAGGAGAGGGGTGTCCGTCTAGGCTAGGACCTCAGCGCCCCCGGCCTCTGAGCTTGGGAAGAGGGGGTCCTGCCGGCGGCGCTGCCTGGGAGGCGGGACCGCGGGCTCCCGGGCGGAGGGGCGTTACCTTGGGCGGGAGGGCGAACACCACCGGCAGCAGCAGCAGCGGCGCGATGAGCAGCACCAGCAGGCGCCGGCTGCTCCACACCTTCTTGGCCAAGATCGCCAGCACCGCCATCTGTGCGACCGCGCGGGTCGGGGAGCCGGCCAGCCCCGAACTGCGACTCCTGGCCCACGCGCGCGCTTAAAGGCTGGGGGAGGGTCCAGAGAGGGGACTCCGCCTTCTCCGGACACTTCTGGGCGAAACAGGACGCTGCCAGCCCCCACCCCCAGCCGGGAACTGAATGAAAGGGGCCGGGAAACGTTAGGAAAAGTCAGGCAATAACTAAGCAACCGGACTCCAACCCTGAAGGCAGCTTGGCCCCGGGGTTAAGCCTGCCCTTTCCAGGGCTGGGGCCTGGGGCAGCGGTCTTGTCGGCCAGTGATTCCCCTGTGAACTGTGCGATAATGACACTGTGAGGACTACAGTACTTACTAGTACTCCCAGGTTCCGATCCAGGCTCTGCCACGTGCTAGCTGCGTGGGCGTGAGTGACGGTCTCTGAGCCTCAGTTTAGGCCTCCAGCTGGCGGGGGTGACGGTAAGACGGTCACTACCAGACAAGAGGTCCGCGGGGCAGTTTAATGGGGATCATGTGCATATTGGCCTGAGCACAGTGCCCGGCACAGCGAAGCCCTCAGTGAGAATTATTGTGTGACTGCCACAGCCGTCCATGTTGTTTTCTGATTTCCCCCCAGGGGGGTCCGCGCGTGGAGCGGTCCTCCCCTTCCCCTTGGATAAACGCACAGGAGTGCAGTTGCTGGGTGTGTGGTAGCTGCATCCTTCGTTTTTTTAAGAAACTGCCCAGCTGTTTCCCGCAGTGTGCGTACCACTGTACATTTCTACCAGTGATCCAGTTTCCCCCCATCCTTGTCAGCATGTGGGGTGTCACTAGTTTTAGTTCAGCCTCTCTGACAGGGGTGCATTGTGGTTTTAATCCGGGGTTGTGGGGCTCGATCCCCAGTGGGGGGCATGCATGAAGCAGCAGATGAATGCTGATGGGGTTTAACATCTTTCTGGGACCCTCTTGGCCATCTGCATAGCCTCTTTGGGGAATGATCTCTGCTTGTCGGTTACCCATTTTCTAACCAAACTGTTTGTTTTCTGCTGTTGCATTCTGAGAGTACTTTGTATACTCTAGACAGCAGTCCTTTACCAGATATGAGGTTTGCAAATATTTTCTCCCAATCTCATCATCCTCTTAACAGCCTTTCACAGAGCAAACATTTGTGATTTTGGTGGAATCAAATTTATTGGGTTTTTTTTAAAGGGTTGGGGGTGGGGGGGTCATGCTTTTGGAGTCAAACTCTTTGCATAACCCTGGATCTTGAAGATTTTCTCACTTTGTTTTTCTAGACGTTTGATAATTTGTAATTTTGTTTATATTTAAGTTCATATGTTCATTTTTTCATGAGGCGTGATACTTAGGTTGAAGATTCTGTTTTTTTTCTTAATTTCCCTTCTTTCCTATCATTGACCAATTGCTGCAGCATCATTTGTTCTACAAGTTTTCTTTACTCCATTGAATTACTTTTGTACTTTTGTCAAAAAATCAATCAGGCATATGTGCTAGATCTATTTCTGGATTCTCTATTCTGTTCCATTGATCTAATTGTCTGTTTCTTTACCAATACCCCGTAGTCTTCATGACTGCAAGATACAGTCTTTAAATTGGGGAGACTGATTCCTCCCATTTTATTCTTTCTTGAAAAATGTATTTTAAGAAAAAGCAACAGGAGAAAATTTAGGTGGGGCTGCTCTGGCTCACTGAGAAAAGTTACAGGGACAGAAGTAAGCCAAGACATTAAAATACATGTCAAAACACACGCAGTCGCCAGAGTCCTGAGACAGTCAGGGAACTTCTCACAGCAACAAAAAGCCACACGTCGACCAAAGCTGAAAACCTTCAGCTGCGGAATCGCAGGCCCATGACTGCTGCTGAGATCCAGCTGATGGTGGGAGAGAGTGAAGAACGGCTCGCAGAGGAGCAGATGGTAGACGCATCCACCGGGTCACAAGCCTGCTGCCTGCAGGGCCAGAGGCTGAGCCGAGGAACACTACCCACCATGACAATGGATGAAGCGGACCCCGCATAGGCAGCACAGCTGGGCCAAGCATCGCCGGACACTCAAAGGCCAGCAGCTGTTTCTCAGACATAGAGGATTGTTTGCTTAGTTCCCCCCCTACCCCAACTGACCTGATTTCACGGTTAGTTGGGTAAATCATAAAAATAAGCCTTTCTCCAAAGTAAGCTGAAGAGAAACACTTTGCATCCGGGAGAAGAAACCTGGTGAAGACAGGCTGAGGTTGTCAGGGCAGAGAGCTAAAGAAAGGAGGGCAGCCCAACCAGCATGACTCGGTGGCTGAGCATCGACCTATGAGCCAGGAGGTCACGGTTCGATTCCCGGTCAAGGCACATGCCCGGGTTGTGGGGCTCGATCCCCAGTGGGCGGCGTGCATGAGGCAGCAGATCAATGATTCTCATCATTGATGTTTCTCTCTCACTCCTCCTCCCTTCCTCTCTGAAATCAATACAAATTAGAAAGAAAGAAAGGAGGGCAGAGTTAAAGAGGACAATGACTGGGGGACCCTCTGTGGGAAAAATACTTCTTCTGTGGCTTGTGCCACAGTTGTGGGGAAGTCCTTCCTATGTGGCTAGTACAATACCTGCGTTGCCTTTGATGGGCTGTCCTACTAATTAGCTCCATCTGCTTCCCTAGGGACTTCCCAAGGGGGGCGGGGAGACAGAGTGCTGTTGGGATGAGAACCGAGTTAGCGGAATCCAGTTCGATGACTTATCCTAGAGCAGCTCTAGATTAAAATGAGCCGCTGAACTTGGCTCACCTTAGAGGAATCTCTCTCTGGAGAACAGCAGAGATAAGAAAAGAACAGGTCTGCCAACTCTTCATCGGGTCTAAAGGCCCTTTTCCTCTATGGCATGGGCTTTGTTTACTGGCCCACTAGTTAGTCTTAAATGTTCTGGCTCAGCTCATTCCAACTGAGAAGGCACTTCAAACTGAATGACTGTTAACAGAAATGCAGCGCTGGCTGCCTTTCTGACTGCCCTGGGCAGGTGCCGCCTGTTGAGACCAGGTGAGCTTCATTTGCACAATGGGCAAATTATCTGCATCTTTAAAAAGGGCACAATTATTTACTTCTTTTCACAGACTATGTAAGAAATAGAGGTTGATTGATAAGAATTTGAATTTATTGGCTATTGCAGGGTTGTTTCCGTGTTTTTTTTAATTTAAAATATTAAGATAATTATTATTGGAAGAGCTTGTTGATATTCAAGCCCTGGAGAGTTAAATAGCTCCAGATATGTGGTTGCCTTTGGTTCTAGGAATATTGAAAAAAAAAAGTCTAATTTTCCACATTCACTCTTCTCCCTATTTGGGGAAGAAAATGCCCCTAGACATTAATCTTCCAAATTGACATGCATTTTGTTGTAAGATCACATATTTTCAATGCTGCTATTAATTGGATTACTTCCCGCTCCCTGCAATTTCTAGGTTTTTATTTTCTCTACTTGTCCCCTTTCCAAGTTGTAATTGTGTCAGTCTTAACCTTATCATCTAAGGTTCAAAGGAGATCTGATTACAGGCAACGCTAAATGCACTGGACATTTATTTTTAAATCTTTCCTGCGTATTGGGAATTTTACCAGGGGCTGTTGTTGTTAGGGCATACATGTGCCTACGGATTATTTAATCTTAACCATGAGTGTGTGAGATTCTTCTGTTTGACAGATTTAGGGCTTAATCCATTTAATAATAAATTGTTTCCAGGTGAAAAAAATATTTCAGCTATTGTAGTTCCTTTGAATTTTCATGTAAATCTTTAGAATAATTTGTATCTACAAAAATTCTTGTTGGGATTTTGGTGGTAGGAATTATATTAAGCTTGTATATCAATCTTGGAGAGAATTTACATGTTTACTATGCTGACTCATCTAGTCCTTGAGCATGGTATGTTTCTCAGTTTATTTAGATCTTCTTTGATTTCCTTGATCAGCATTTTGCAGTTTTAGCCTAAAATTCCTATACATATTTTGTTAGATTTACATGTGTTACATTTTTGAGCAATATAAATGGTATTACTGCTTTTTCGGTGTCCATATGCTCACTGCTAGTATACAGAAATAAAGTTGAACTTTGTATGTTTATCTTGCAACTTTGCTCAATTTATTTATAAGTTCTAAGAGGTTTGTTTTGTCAAATCCTTGGGACTTCCTACATAGACAGTCATGTGGTCTACAAAAAAGACCATTTTATTTCTTCCTTTCTGATCTGTATGCCCTTCATTTACTTCTCTTGCCGACTGCACGTGCTAGAGCCTCAATCACTCTGGCTGAACAAGGGCGTGAGAAGGGACATCCCTGTGTGGTTCACAATCTTAGGAAGCATCCAGTCTCTCGCCGTTCAGAGTAACACTAGTTGTGCTTTGTAACTGCTCCTTATGACAGTTATTCTAGTGGACATGCTTTTCATTTAAAAGATCCGTTGGGCCGAGATGATAGTGGTTGAAACCAGAGTAGTAGTGGCAGGCGTGGTGAGAAATTATTTGGTTCTTGATATGTGTTGGCAACAGAGCTGGCAGGTCTTACTGATAGTCTGATGAGGCCTGGAGAGAAAGAAGCTGTTGTCGGAATCCAGTGAGATGGTGGAATATTTCTCATGGTGTGAGGAGTACACCAGTGAAGAAATACACATTATTTTATGTTGTACTACACAGCATTTAAATAAAAACATTTAATCCCGGGAAAGTACTCCCTGTGTCAGTTTCCTTTAACTCTTTATTACACCACGGAGAGCGTCTCAGTTGGGTGTTAGTATCCCTATACACCTCGGCACTTGTAACAGCCAGAGAAGGCGCTAGAGCAGCGGTTCTCAACCTGTGGGTCGCGACCCCTTTGGCGGTCGAACGACCCTTTCACAGGGGTCGCCTAAGACCATCCTGCATATCAGATATTTACAGTACGATTCATAACAGTAGCAACATTACAGTTATGAAGTAGCAACGAAAATAATTTTATGGTTGGGTCATAATATGAGGAACTGTATTTAAAGGGCCAGAAGGTTGAGAACCTCTGCTCTAGAGCCAGACATGTTGGACAACATTGGACAGTAATGATTGGTTT